ATCCACGGCACATTTTAGAGACATAGAGTTTATGAAATTGAGAATGTGGTTCCATGCATGAACTTGAGCTTGTAGCAACTCATTGTATTGCTCTCCATGATTGGCTAGATCCATCTTTATCTATGCCTAATATCTAAGTAGTGGTCTTTTTAAATGAGCTATACTATATATAGATAGGATAAGAGGAGGGATAGAATGCATTTTTCTAACATAATAAAGCAAAAAATGAAGAGGATTGAATCAATGATAAGTCGCAACTATGTCTAGTCAATCCACATGATTCATGTTGAAGGAATAAATTACATAAAAGTCTTGTGATTAAGAAGCCCTAAACCAATACAAAGCCTATATTATGCTTAAATAATCTTATATTATAAATCAACCTAAATAACTTTAGTGAAATATACAGTGCTCATTGAAATAATGACATTGGGATAGTTTAAAAGGATTCAAAAATGAACTTCACGTGTAATCAAGTGTTAATTCCAAGTTTGACAAACAAGAATAGCCAATAGGAAAATGAGACTCCACATTAGGTGTTAATTCTAGTTATGATAGAATAGTTGAAAATCTCACGTGATTAAAAACTTGAAACTTCAAATTAAGGATTTTGAATTTAAATATTGAGATGATTAGGGAGAGATTATGAAAAGGAAGAGCAATTCTCTATTTTATAATCCATCATCTAATATGAAGATACCCTTGTAGAAATAAATTAAGTGAAAATATTGTGATGCCCTAAACCAATACAAAGCCTGCTTTATGCTTAAATAATCATATATTATAAATCAACCTAAATAACTTTGGGGAGAATATACAATGCTCATTGAAATAATGACATTGGCATAGTTTAAGGGACTCAAAATGTACTTCACGTGTAGTAAAAGTATTAATTCCAGCTTTGGCTAGGAATGGCCAATAGGAAGATGTGACTCCACATTAGGTGTTAATTTCAACTTAAGGAGAGTGGTTGGAAATTTCAAGTGTTCATTTCAGCTTTGGAATGGCCAATAGGAAGATCGGTGTGACTCCACATTCCAGCCTTGGTAGGTAGAACAGTAAGAATGGCCAATAGGAAGATCGGTGCGACTCCACATTCCAGCTTTGGTAGGTAGAACAATAAAAATGGCCGATAGGAAGATGTGACTCCACATTAAGAACAATGTAATTTTAAGTTAACCTGCTTGTCATTTTGGTATGAATATATGTATTGGTTTTGTTAATGCTAAGGCGTACCTATGATATATTGAATCAGAAAAATGATTGGTTATTATTCAATTCAACACAACTTCTAATATTTACTAATTTAGTCATTAAAACTTATAACTTTCAGTTTTTTTACTTTTAATTTAAATTTAAAAATAATAATTTATTAATAAATATACTATGAAATGTATTGAATTGAAAGATACATTAATTATCGTCCATCAAACTATATTGAGTAATGTTTCAAATTTGTTGTTATAAATTTTTGTTTAAATTAATGTAATATATTCAAACTTAATTCATCTTTATTTATACAGTATGGTTATGATCACATAGTTAATTGTTAAAGTTATACCACTTTTAAATTTGTTCTTCTAATATATTGATTTTATTTGATTTAGCAATTAAAAATAACTAATAACTATAATTGTTAATTGATTAATAACAAAATAACTTATATTCATTATATACTTGACATATTAAAATTAATATACAAAAATTAATATTTTCAAATATCATGACTAATTATTTAATAAAATATAATAAAATGATTAAGTAGTCAAATTTAATGAGTTAGTCGTTGTTTGAGTGGTTCAAAACACTATGTCGGCAAGTATAGCCGTGATGTACTAGAATTTCACCTCGTCGGAGAGCCTAACCTTTATCTCTTTTTTTCTCCACTCTAATCCAACATGTCTTCCGCATGTTAAAAAAAAAAAAAACATGTCTTCCGTGTGGAATAAGAAATGAATTTTGTTTTGCATTTATAAATACATTTTTCCTTAGAGGAAAGATTTAAGTGGATTAATTAGGAAACCAAAGGTACAAATAATAATATAAATTTTGTAAATTTTTTATTTAATAATGTAAAATTTATTAATTTTTAAATAAAATAATAAGTTTTAATTTATTTATTTAAGAATATTTATTTTATATAATTTTATTTAAAAATTAATTGAATGATAATGTTAATGT